TGTCAGCTTCCTGTGCACTTCAGTTCCAGCCCATAAATGAGGAATGATGACACTTCCCTAGCTCATAATGATCTCAGAAAAATAAGCACAGGAAAGGTTGGGAGATTCAAGGTACTTTGGTAGTGTGGTTGCACAGAAGACACACAGTGACCTAAAGTGACCCCTGAGAGGTTTGGGATGGGGAGCTGTGAAGCTTACACAGCAGAGCTAAATCGCTTTGAAGGTTCGTGTGGGAAGAAGGAGCCCATCCAACAGCTTTACCTCATGTTCTCCGGAGGCCCCAGGTGCCCAATACACCAATACCTCTGTAACTTTAATTTCACCTTGAAGAGTTTGAGGAATATATTTTAAATGCATTATATTTACCCTTATACACTATATCCATATAGACACACACAGCGTTAACTATTTCAAGGTCCCCGCAGAGAGCTGTTAGCAGAGACAGAACATGGGCCGGCATACTACTGAAGCCACATGCACCATCTGCTCAAACATTTTAATGTAATTTACCAGGCAAGAGCTGAGCAGGAAAAAAAAAATAGATGAAAGATATTAACTTTCCCCTTCTCCAAAACACCCCCTGCTGCTTGATATATGAACCTAACTCACCTATAACTAATATTTGATTTAAGAACATATTCATAAATTTAAAAAAAAAAAAAGTTCTGTGCCTGCAAAGTAACATTGACATAATTTTTCAGTTAACTACTAACCTGCTGCCCATGGAGAAATATCCGAATTCATAACCCTTTTGCCAAAACCAAGAAGGAGTGGACAAGTTAAGAACTTAAAAGTTGTTACTCCCCTCAGGCAGCAAGTGATGTCCTTCAATAAATGAGTAAAGAAATCAGACAGCAATTTTGATGATCTTCAATAAATCAGTAAAGAAAGATTTATTTACTGCAGCATTGAAGCCAAACAAGTTCTACATGTTAAGACTTTTATTTGGCTGAAGGTGGCAGCCCTGGGCCAAGCACTATTTAAATTTTGGAAATAAGTCCTGCACCTGATATGTTAAAGGGGATTCCAAAGACTTATACTTCAAGAATCAGATTTCATGACAAATAAGCTTCAACCTTTTAAAACAAAAGCAGTGATTTTCAGAAGTTATGACAAACTCCTTTTGTTGTGTTCAACAGTATTCATGAAGACGTTTAGACAAGGTTAGCAACTTTTTCTTCATCAGAAGTACTCAAAAAATTAACAAGAGACTAGGAAAACTGTCTTTGCTATAAATTCAGGATATTACACATAATTGGGAAACCAGAACTACCCAGCAACTTTTAAAACTGTAACTGTGTGTAAGCTGTTGACAAGCAGCTCTCTCCACAGCCTCACTGAAAGCCCAGTGCCTGCTCATTTCCTTGCTAATGCCATGCCATCTCCTACCATTCAAGCTGGAAAGCTGACATTTCTTCTTCCAAACACCTACACCATTCCCTACTCCTTTCAAACTGAAAAGCAAAAATTTTAAATGCATTATATTTATAAAATAATTTTTTTTTAAGACTGTAAATATCAGTGTTGCTTTCTGATGTGGAAGGTAGAAAAATCTACATACAGCAGGAAAGTTTTACCAATTCCTCTTACTGGTAGCCTAAATACAGCAATCTTCATAATTCAGAATTTTAGGAAATGAGACCTCAATCTGAGCTGCCACCCAGAGCTGAATGGCTGGCTGTGTGCCAGGATGCTTCAACCACCAGCCCGTGATCAAAAACAATCATCTACAGCAGTCATCATACCAAAAGCTCCTCTCTCTTTCAACTCAAGGTTCATTAAAGGTCAACAAGGAAAATTAATATTAAGAATTAACAGAAAAGGAAAAAAGAAGCCTAAAGAAGATGCAGGTAGGAGTGATCATGACTATCAGAACATATGGATAGGCTCCCACATAGGGAGGGACTGTCTGACCAGCACCCTTTGGCTTTGAAAGAAGTCAGTGACAACTAAAATCTAAACAAATACTGAGTGGCTTAAACAAGGTAAAAGGAAACATATTCACTGACTCTTCTCGCATGAGAGAAGAGCTCTAACTGTAACTCTAAGCTGCTAGTCAGAACAAAACCAAAGTAATTCCTCATGCAAGTTATGCAATTTCTTGCTACAAGACACTGCATAGAGTAAAGATTTACTGGGATTCGAAAAACATTTTGACAAAGAAATGAAAGAATATTCCACAATGACTATTGAAAACAAACATATCATTTTCAGCTCAGGAAACAGGCAGCTGAAGGAGCATATCAGGGAAGGATCAGCATAACCATGCCTGTTTTACTCATCTTTAGGCTTGGAACATCATCGTGATAGAGGGATGCCCTGGACGTTGGATGGATCTGGTGTGCCACCCTTACATTATTTTATGCTATACTTCAGGAGTTAAAAACATCACGAGAAGTTTTACCAAAAAGTTAAGGAATTTCTTTTTTTTGTTTTGTTTAGTTTGGTTGGTTGTGGGTTTTTCGCGGGGGAAGGAGTGATTATTTGCACTTTGGTTTGGTTTGGTTTTAAATGATCTGGTTTTTAGTCTCATGGTTTTGAGGTAAACTTTAGTTCAATTTTCTTGCTTCCGTCCCCAGCTACCATATTCCACAATGCTGAGCACTGAGAACATTGCCATTGATTTTCATCAGCAAAGGATCACACCCTAACTGCTTTCAATTTCACAGTTACTGAGCAACACTATGTGATCACAGCCTCTGAATAAGCAACATCCTGTATTCAAAGGTTTGAACCTCAGAACTCCATATAGACTTGGAACTTCAGCACCTATCGATGAACATCAGCTTTGCAAATCTTGGATAACAAACTCTTGAAGTACAGAAATAAATACCTTGGGTGCTGTTAATTGAAATTAGCTCTACTGAACCACAAAATTTCCTTGTATCCTCATCATGGTCCTAAAACTGAGAGTACTTCCTACAATACCACAAACTTTCTGTATTTTTACCAGTATTAACGAGAATAAAAATAACTTTTCCTATATCAAAATTTATACATAGCACTCCTATTAAAATTATGTATTCAGGTATAGTTAAGGACAAAAAACAAAGCACACAAAAATGGGAAGTTAAACAGTGCAATAAGCTAGATTTTATACTTAGTGAAAATTGATTATCAAAATTATCTTCTGTGTTCACTTTATACCAAATACTTACTCTAGTTTAGCACCATCAGACTTAGGGGAACATGTAACATCATTCCTGACAAGTCAGTGCATCTTTGCAGTAGTTCATATTTTTTCTACAATTATATAAAAACACTGTCATAAGGTATATGTTTTTCTTTTAAAATAGCAACTTTCACTGTTAAAAAATAGTAAATAACACCATATTCTCAATTTTATTTGTTGTAGGAGGCTTTCCTGAATGCAAACAACTGTTAAAAAACAATCAATAAGTGGATTGGCTTTAATGGAAATGGTACTTGCAGCCTTTAGTATTTGCTCATCCACACACCAAGACAACAGAAACCTTGTTTGCTGTTAACATGGAAAATCTGAATGGTCCAGAAGACTGGATCATTCCCACTGCCCAGTGAATGACAAGAATGAGGCTGGTTGTACCTCCCTTGGCAAATCTTGATCTGCGTTAACATTTTAATGATGTGAAATTTCAAGGGTGAGAAAGTGCTATTGAAGTCCCCACACAATAAAGTTACCAAAAAAAACTGCTGTAGAAACCACTTGTGTTTCGTGTACGTCCATTCACATACGCACACACAAATGTAAACAGTCATTGTTTTGAGGCCACAGCTTAGCTCTTCTTTCATCTATTTAAAGAACCTAAACTTAAGAATTGAGCAACATAAAAGCTTTTCAAGAAGAAAGCCTGGACACTGGTCCGTTACATCTGATGGAAATAATATTACACAGCAGTCTTTCACTTCTAAGGCTCATTAGAAGCTGTATATTATATTTACCACACCATGAAGATAATAACCTGAGAAAGAACATTAGCATAAATCATTAATTCATTGGAGAGAAACTCTGGAAGAGGATATCTTTTTAAAAGGAAAATGATCACATTAAAATACATGCAAACTTTGAGGAAAACCACCTGTGCCAAGTAACTGGTGCCAAAATTAAGTAATTCCTAGTTATCCTACTTGGATTTCAACAGGAAGAATTTAGACCATATGAAAATACAACAATAGTTTCACAAACCAATGGCAAAAAATTCAACTGAGTTTTAACTTGGCTATCTGAAAGCATACTTGCTTTCAAATCATATTCCAAAAGTCTTCTGTTCATAATAAATAGTACTGGAAGACACTGAATGACAAAGGTCTGAACACATGCAGTCTGTCCTATGCTAACGAAGAATTACCTATTCTCAGCAAATGAAAAAGCAAGCACGCAAAATTTTCCATTTAGACATTAAAAAATCCACCAATTTCTCCTCTCCTTCTTCCATACTTATAAATTTTAGAAAGTAAAACTGTCAGGTGAAATTTCTGTGTAATAATTTCAATTAAAATAAATGATGTGCTCTTAATGCAGTTTGCAACTTCATAAATAACTAAATCAAGGAGAAGGGAAACAAAACAAAGGCAAAAATCTACCTATCATTTACCCAGTGACCAAATAGCAATATGAAAAATAGCACATTCCTCTTTCTATACTTTAGAGACACAGGAGCACTTTGATATTCCAAATAACAGGCAATGTTATTTGCTAATGATACTTTAAAATCACAACTATGAATGAACTTGACACCTCCTGGAAAAGAAAAAAAAACCTCACACCCTAATTTGCAGGTTCCCTTTTAAAGCTGACATCTGTCTGTCTCCCTACTGCACAAAATAAAAGGCAAGCTTTCTGTTTGCAGGCTCCAGATCACTTGCTCAGTTGTTACTCTCAAATCACAGCATGCAAGGGCTGCATTCCACCAGAGGAAAGGTGCTCACCAGGGTAGAAGGGGATATTTCAGACTGTGAAGCTGATTGCTCTGGAAATGTTTGCTAACAGAGATGTCAATGAAGGAAAGGAGTTTCAGTACCTGAGTTAACAAGCTGTTGCTCCATGACCCCGCAGCCCAGGACCTCCATCCATTCTCCTTGGAAGTTGATCTCCATCTCAAAGGAAGGGTGAGTAAATGGAAAGTAGCAATCTACCCATCTGACTTGTAGTCCTGTAGCAGTGTTTAAATAAATAAATAAATATTAAAGGGTGTATGCTTAAAAGGCCATCCCTCCAACCATCTGAAAACTTGCCCTTCAACTAATGACATCAATTACAGCAATCCAGAGAAAATAAATAGCAAACAAACTAATTTACAACAGTCATGCAAGGCGATAAATCTTAAAACCTGTGGAAAAAAATGACCATGTCTTTTCTAATATGAAAAATGCTTTGTGCAATTCAAGCACCCTTTGAAACCAAATCAATCATTTGTCAAACTCTAGCAACCACCCGGCATGGAACAAAAATGAGCCAAGATCATTGGAAAGTGAGTAATTCTGTTATTCTTTGCACCAAGAAATTATTAACTGCTTCTTACAGGAAAATGCTAGCTAAGTCTTTAATTTTTACTTAGTATTTCATGGATTGTCTAGGCAAGTAATTTTTTTTCATCAGAACCTAATTAAAATACAGAGCTGTTCTCTCTGTATAGGTTTAAATATGAAAGTTAAAAATAGATATTAATATACTCAAATAGAAATATATATGCACAGAGTTGTACATTATTAAGGTATGCAACACACACAGAGCATTCTGGACCCAGCTGCTAAGTGTAAGAGAAAAGCATCACTGGGTAACTCCCCATCCTCCTCCCCAGCTCAGCACCTCTGCAAATGCCACTGCGCAGAGTGAAGAAATTCCCGGCATTTCAGAGCAGAAGAGCCAGAAGAGGACAAGGTCTACACTGCTGCCAAAAGCAGAGTTGTTGTCAAGGCCCTCATTATATTTGATGAGCCTTAGTTCTTCTAATGATTTACAGAGGCTTTGTTTCACTAAATAATTTTTTCTAGCTATTAGGTGTCAGGAAAGAAGTCTCAGAAACATGAACTACAAAAACACAAAACAGAACTGAAGTGCAAAATCTGTAAGCTAATGCCTTAACCCCAAGCCCATCTTTCCTTCAGTTAAGCCAAATACAGCGTTAGGATCATTAAGAACCAAGCAAGTCCAGTTTTGAAAATAAGGGGCATAGCAAAAGTTGTTTGAGTGACAGTACCTGTTAACATTCCTGGTTTGATTTTCAGGCTTTTTTGGCGTCATTTCATAAAAGGAATGTAAAACATCAAATCACATGATTTATACTGAAAGTTTTTCAAATAAAAATATTTTACATAGCCTCAAGGATTAGATTTTCTTTGACTACTTCTGAAGCATCAAATGTGGCTACAGAAAATGAAACAATGAGCTACAACAAAAGTACATGCATGACCAAAATATAAAATACTGAATAGTTACAGGGAACTTTTCTAGGTGTTATGAACTTTCAAATTATGAGGGAGGTTTAAAAATAAATACACTGGTACTGCTAGGTTTTCTTTTCTTTCTTAAAAATTTACCTAAGTAAATTATATGAAAGATAAAAAAGCTTTTTGATATTTTTACATACAGAACTCCGAAAATTGGAAGTATTTGCAATCATACCATTCACCATTGTACTGTGATTTTAGCAATCATTTTATTGGGTTTTTTTTCCTGCATAACAATAAAAAAATACATAGATCAAAAGAGTTATGTGTATATAACAGTATGGTATGCAGAAAACATTTTTTTAATTTCCCGATCTTGGCATTTTTAATTCTAGGGCTGTACAACTCTGCATACACTGTAAAGCCATACACATATAAAATATTTAGCTTGCAAAATTTGGAACTGTAGGAAGGACACTGAATATTCAAGTAGTTTCGTGTTCAATAACAACATTCAGATAATGGTTTCTTTTTAATACTCTTATTACTTCAAAATGAAGATCTGGGAAAAAAAGGGATTTCTCAGCTGTTTGTTCTTAATTAAAATAAATTTTAAGAGATAAAAAAAGAATTTAAAGCTCTTTTATATTTTTGCATTTTAATGCTTATTAGTACTTAAGAGGCTTTTGTTTTAAGTGCAAATAAGCAAACAAACAAAAATCTGAATAAACCAAAACAAATTCACAATGAAGAAACAACTCTCACCTTCATTCTGTTCTCTAAATTAATAGTTAATCCCATATACCACAATAATTTTATTCATACAGTATCACGGCCAATTGGGAATACCTCTGTAGTTTATATTCGAGTGTTCTTTCAGACTTTTGGCTTTAGAAGACTTTACTGAAAAGCTGAGGATGCTCAGCCTTCAGCAAGATTAAGCCTTCTAACTGCATTTCTATAGACTGTCACAGAATAAATGGGTACATTTATTATTTAGATATGAAATATTGTCTTGGTGCTCAATATATTCCCAAGGAATAAAGGGCATTGCTCACACTCAGCAAATTAGACCGCTAAGGACTTAAGGATTATGAAGATTAGGCTTTCTGTAGTACTGTATAATTTACCTGATTAGGTCTAATTTATTTCTTCATATACAGCCTATGACATGCTGGCAAAAACTGATCTTTTTCAAGAAATTTTAGAAGGCCAAGAGATGCGTGACACAGAGTACAATGCTGAATCTAACCAGAGACTGACCACTAGATACAAACTCAGCAACTTCTCCAGTTCAAAGAAATTACTTGTGTTACCGGCGGACACCCGCTCGTTTCAGAGCCTAAAAGTGTTCATGGGAGTCCTTTCAGTAGGCAAATGTCCATTAGTAACTGTGGTGGGTTGACCCTGACTGGATGACAGGTGCCCACCAAAGCTACTCTGTCACTCCCCTCCTCAGCTGTACAGGGGAGAGAAAACACCATGAAAGGCTCCTGTGGGTTGAGATAAGGGCAGGGAGAGATCACTCACCGCTTAGTCACGGGCAAACCAGACTCAACTTGGGGAAATTAGTTTATTACAATCAGATCAGAGTAGGATAACGGGAAATAAAAACTAAATCCTAAAAATATCTTCCCCCCACCCCTCCTTTCTTTCAGGTTCAATTTCACTCCTGAATTCTCTACCTCGTCCCTGCCAGCAGTGGGAACAGGGAATGGGGGCTGCGGTCAGTTCGTCACTCCTTTTCTCTGCCGCTCTTTCCCTGCTCTGGCTGGGGTCACTCCCACAGAAGACAGTCCTTCATGAATTGCACCAGTGCAGATCCCTTCCACAGAGTGCAGTCCTTCAGGAACAGGCTAATCTAGCATGGGTCTCTCACAGGGTCACAAGTCCTGCCAGCAAACCTGCTCCAGTATGGGCTCCTCTCTCCACAGGGCCACAGGTCCTTCCAGGAGTCTGCTCCATCATGGTCTTCCCACGGGGTCACAAGTCTTCTCTGGGCATCCACCTGCTCCAGTATGGTGTTCTCCAGGGCCTGCAGGTGGATCTCTCCCCCATGGGCCTCCATGGGCTGCAGGGGCACAGCTGCCTCACCATGGTCTGCACCATAGGCTGCAGGGAAATCTCTGCTCTGGTGCCTGGAGCACCTCCTGCCCCTCCTCCTCCACTGACCTTGGTGTCTGCAGGGCTGTTTCTTGCACATGTTCGCATTCCTCTCTCTGGCTGCATTTGTGCAGGGGTTTTTTCCCCTCTTTTAAAATGTGTTATCCCAGAGGCACTACCACCGTTGGTGACTGGCTCAGCCTTGGGTCTGTCCTGGAGATGCTGGCATTGGCTCTGTTGTACACAGGGGAAAATTCTGGCAGCTTCTCACAGAAGCCACCCCTGTAGCTGCCCTGCTACCAAAACCTTTCCATGCAAACCCAACACAGCAACTTACATGTCACATCTCCAATAAGTATGGAAATAGTGAATATTTATTGTTATTTCTGAATACTGAATCAAGGTAAGGAACTGGTCATAGCCTGCACTGAAAAGTAATGGTGTTATCAGATATTAAGCTAAACAAGTGCTAGCCTAATTGAGTCTCGTAATGAAAAAGGCTTGACCAAAGGCACTGAAAAAGAAAGAAAAGAGAAAAGAACAAACCAAACACATTAAAGCAGCCTATTGCTACACTATAGCACAGAAGCAACAAAGCCTGAGACCCAGATGGTCTTCACTGACCAGAAATTCTCTTTGTTCCTGTGAGGATTATTTTTAGAGATGAGGTTATGGGAAAAAGAGGAGAGGGGCACAGGGTGGGCGCTGGGAAGCACAGAAGGTATCGAACTGCGGCCTCTTGAGGTGAGCGTCGATTTGTAAGTACTCTGCACCTCGTTGTTGCAGATAATTCATCACACTTGCAGCAGACAGGAGCTGGCTGCCCATAAACCTACATTAGCTCACATTTTTCAGAAGTTATTTGCCAGACCATTATGTCCTCAATAAATGATTTTTTTTCTTTCTTTTTATACTTCTTACACCTCCATGTACTCAAAGGAGGTATCAGTACAACAGAGTTAAAAAGAAGAAAGAGCAGAACAACATGTTTGATTTAAAAGACATCCAGTGGCTGTTCAGTGAAAACCAGCAGCAGCAAAGCCATCAGTCAAAGCACAGCATCACCCACTCTTCTGCCTCCCCTTACCAGTGCCTAGAAACTGGGTAGATAAATATGGGACAGCAGTGAATTTTGAGCCATTTCATGTAAAGCAACAAATCACAGAACCAACACACAATCATTCTTTTCTATTTGATATAGTAAGATTACTTCTGAATCTCTCAGGCTCCAGAAAGCTTTTGACAAACTATGGAAGGGTTACAAAAAGAACTGTAGTTGAGAAGGACTAACTAACTTTATAGAGAAACCTAAGACAGTTTATCTTGAAAGCCTTATTACAAGGTAACTTTAATGAGATATAACAGAATTCCTACACTGATAGATTTGTATGGGGAGATGGAGGTGTAAGTTAAATTACTGGATTTCAAGTGTGCACCTTATCTAGAGGTAATAGAGGAAAACTAAGAATGTGATATCTAGGCATAGTATTTGAAATAGCTTCCTGATATCATAATCTCATGAAAAAAAAACTAACGACAATTACTTGTAGAATGCAAAATCAGACAGGGCATACCACTAGAAAATCTCATAAATAGAACTACCTTACACTGAGAAGTATTTAAGACAGTTCCTTGCATGATCCAGATCTTTACCCCTCCATCTAATATCTAAGTAATTCCTTTGTCTGTTGTCAAAGCCAGAAAGAAATAAAAAGACAAACTTTTGGAATAAGTGTAGGTAAAGAGTCAGGTAAAGCAAAACTGCCTCATTAAATATTATAAAAACTAACCTAGAACAATGCAGAGGAAAAAAAATTGGAGAAAAAAAAAGGGCAGGTCAGTGATCTGACCTTTCTGCAGAGATCCTGCAGGGATCCTCAATCTGTCATCAATCTGACCTTGTAAATTCCCAGAGAAGTACTGCAGAAGCACAACTATCCAATTCCAGGACTTCAGGGCACAAGCTAGTTTACGCAAAATTAACTTGCACAGCAAACTTAATCTACAATCCAAACAATCTGCCTATGAGTAACCGTTGACTGTGTGACAATGTAACATTTCAATAGCTCACTGCAGCGATGGTCATGCTGTCCTGCTAGAAAAGATGTGCAACTTCACTACAATATTCTGCTGACAGCACAGGCCGTAAAGAATACAACTGATGTGAAGTATAAGAGGAATGAAATTTTTGCTTTTAACAGAACATGAGGTCCTACGGAATATCTACACAAAGGAAAAATACAGACATTTTCCAAGAGCAATAGACACAGTAAAACACATTTTAAAATTAAGTTAAAATTTACAGGTGTCAAGACAAAAAAAAATTATCAAAAGTATTGCATAAAGAGGAAAACGGAAGCTAAAAGATGACAGTAGTCAAAAGAGAAATTTATTTGTGTGTGTCCCAAGACACTTGCAGTGCACCGATCTCATACATCTAATGCCTAACATGAAGTTTGCTCTCTGAATACTATATTCAAGTATTTCCATGAAATGTGGGGGGGCAAATACATATATATATAAAATTACATTTTAATCACTAACTATATCTTGTCTTTGCATTTCAGGAAAAATATAGCTGGTACAGAAATGGAAAATCCCTACAGTAAAAAGGTGGCATCTACTTTTAGTCTGTATGTTTAAAATAATTTATGAATATATTTTTAATGTCTTTCTAGCTACTGTGTGGACTGTAGAAGAACTGCCAGCATGTTGAAGCTTAAAGTGCAGCCTCTGTCAACAGTCAGAGAAGGATGAAACTGCAGTCTGAGATATCACTAATAACTCCTAGAAACTGTTCACTTTAAACATCCCCAGCATCTGAGGTTGATCTAAAAATATCATTCTTACTATTACTCACTTTGATCCTAATCTTGTATGTTTCAAAAGGCCACTGTTCAGTAAAATACACCCACAAGAAACTCTGAACTGAAGAACTTAAAAATTTTTGTTCAGGTGGAATAGAATAAAACCAGAAAAATATTCAAGAAATCATATATAGTACTTGGTACTATTATCAATCCACTCTTGGAAATACTGCTCTAAGTGCAGTAAGCATCTTAAAAGACCTTTGAAAGCAGGCAGGATACATTCTAATACCATCCAGTATTTCCTCAACAGAAAAATGAATCAGCTCAGAAGAGCAGCCTCCTTGCCAAGGAAATAGCATTAATGTAGCAATTTTGATTCAGGCCATTTATAAATTCTGTTCCTGAAACTGAAAGCAGGTATTTCTGAGGAGAGAATATTTCATTCATATACATATTCATTACGTTTCCTCATCCCACTGTAAGTAGCAAAAAACAAGTATTTTTCAGCTTGGCATGAACTCAGCAAACACCATCTCCCCTCAGCTGCAAGGTTTAATTCATTTGCACATAGGAAATGCTCAAGGCGCTTTGTGTGTGTACACAACAAAGCAGCATATGCACATATGTACCCCTTCCCTGGTCCTGTCCATTTCCATGCTGCTGGTGAGAAGTGACCATTGCCCTGCATCCTCCCCAGCAGCACTCAAGCTCTCACACATCCTAGATGCGATGGTGCACCCATTCCCTGTCCCTCTGGGGACACGGGAGGCTCATGAGGATAAAGCAGAGGAGGTCCCGCACAGCTTTGCACTGGAGCTAGAGTTGCCTCTCCTCGCAGGTCCCACACGGACAGGTCCACCACCTTTACTCTAACACCCTGCTTCTGCCCAATGCGTGTTTGCAGTTGAGTCTGGCATGTGTGCCCACCTGTATTCATGCCCACTACGTTACCCTGACATGCTGCATACCAGAACATTTTCACAAAAACGTCATGATTCAACACAGTATTGTGTGCACCAGTATTTAGGAAAACCAAGAAAGGAGTGCGTGGCCTCTTGAAAATAATATTTTTTTTTTTAATTCTGTATTCCAACTGTCAACATCACCCCTAAGCCTCCTGTTTGTATTTATACAGCAAAATGTGTCTCCACAGCCCAAGCGACTACAGCCATGCGCAGTCCAGGAGAACCTACCGTCACCAAAGATGTGAGTCATGAGCTTTGTGAGCACTTGCTTCAGGTTGAACTCCACCAGCCTCACTGCCTCCATGGTGTGACACTCTTGCTTGTGGGCAGTGCGATGGCCTTGCTCGAACAACTGTAAACCTTCGCCATCTTTAATGCTGGAGAACAACTACAACAGAACAACAAAAATACCAGTGTTTTGCATCAATGGCTTTCTAAATGAAAACAGAAAACGAAGTTCCACTGGTTCAAGTGGAAATCTTACCTGCTAAGTCTGCACCCCGACAAAGAAACATAAAGACTGTGATTTTATACAAATTCTGTTCACTAAATGCAGAGACAAATCATCATAAGAACAGAAATATTCAAACAATTAGATTTGTTTTATTTCTGTATACTGTATCTTCAAATAATACGATTAGCTACAGGAAAATATTAATTTATAAAAGAACAATCTCTCTTTTTCTGATTCTGTTACTGTGAAAGCTATCATGCAGAACAAAGTCCTCTGTACCATATAAGTAAACCATATCTCACAGCTTCAACTTTTTTAGTAACTGAATGATATAAAAGAAATACCAAAACATCCAACACTTTTTAAAAGCTATAATCAAATTAACATTAAAAAAATAAAAACAAAAACCCAAAAAGCCATAAAAAAACAACTAACCAAAAACCAACAAAAAAACCCCTAAACCAACCAAACAAAAACCCACCTAAACCAAGGAAAAAAAATCACTGGCAGTTTAATGAGACCTTAAGATGCTTACACTTGATTCATCTTGGGAACAGTTTATTCATTTAAGAACTACCATTTTCCTGCATATTCCCACACACAGCATCCTTTTTGTGTACAGGAATTTTGTCTATGGGGCATTTAACAATTTGTGATCTGGAGCTGGGATTTCCAGATAAATTACAAAGCACATGGACAGCTGTTTTGGCATGTGACAGATTTGCTCTTCAGTCAGAGGCTGCTCCCCACCACATCTGCTGCAAATTGAAGATTTCTGTTTCCTGCACATCCCCATAAGTTTCTGGCCAGGTGATTCCAGACAGATACAAACCAGCAAATCTACATCCTCTCAGAGAGACCAATAAAACACTAATTAAACAACATCATTGGAGGCACTGCGTCCTGGGGAGACAAGCAGGCAGTTTTATACTCTAAACAGTATTTTTGTTGGAAATCCTTACAGCTGTACAAAAAACCATCCCTGTTAAAGTCTGGAGAATAGGGAGAGCCAATTGTGGAAGTGTTTCTAGTGCCCTTTCCTACCTCTCCTCCTCCAGTTTCCCACAGTCAATCAAGCACACACGGAGGGAAAAAACATGCACTGAGATTTTCTTCCCATTAGGCTTCCCAGCATAACTAGCTCTTACTCAGGAGATGCCACGAACAGTGTGTAACCTTAACAATTTACAGATGCCCACAGAAGTTGTTTTAATTGCAGTTTGATGCTTTTTGTGCACTAAATGCTCTAAACAGAAAGTTCAAGTGAACCTCTGGTAGCCTACAAATGCTGGATATAATTAATTAAGACAAGTTTCTAGCACTTTTCATACAAACACAACGCATGCCTGAAAAGTCTGAGTTTAGACAGCATGCAAACCAGCAGTAAAATGGATTGAAGGAATAGAAAAAAAATCCAGTAGCATTTAACTTTTTATTGCTAGTCACAAGGAGACTTTGCTGGCAGCTTGAAAAAGCACCTCTCCACTTAATCTCCTTAGTGTGCTGCAGAAAACACCAAATAAAAAAGGAAAAGGATAAATACCAAATAAAACGATTCTCCATCAGTCAAAAATGCCTTTACTAACCAAAAGGCAACAGCTTGACAAAACTAGGCATTACACTTTTAAATAACAGATTCTTTATTCAAGTGCACCTGAAAGATTGAACCCCCTTCTTCCTACTGGCATTACTTCTGCCCTGGACGGAACAAGCAGATGACACCTACCCTATAACTAATTTGCTCTCAGCAGGACAGATCGGTCACCCAGCATATAGTTTTGAAAGCCAGGGGGAATTCACAGAGGCCAGCATTAGCCCAAGGAAGATAATTGTCTTAGGCTCACCAGGCGGCGAATGGAGAGACCCAGGCTTCCTCACAGAGAAACAGATAGTGGCTAAATTAGGTTCCTGCTCTGAACTACCCTATACAAGTAGCTATTTTCTTTTCTATTGACTGCCTGACTCAGTAAGCCAGAAACTTCCTTCAGGCAACAGAGATGTTTCCCCTTTTGACCAGAACACACTCTATTTACACATTAGAAGGTACATTCGTTATTTTCCCTATCAGCAGTATTTTAGGACACAAAACTCTTTTCTTCATTTTCCCCTTCATTCCTCCCTTCAGCTTAAAACTGGCTCCCTAGATCATCACAAGAAACAGTCTGGACACTAGCCTTTAAAATACGGCATATGTATCAAGTACATAGAAATACTTTTCCTTACCGCTGTATTATTCCTGAAACGTGGATATTCTAATTACTGTCTTAAGCAAGATTTTATTTTAGTAGTTTTTATCAGATGTGGAAATAAAACTTGTGCAAGAACCATTAAACACATTTAGCCATACTCCAGCCCTCTAACCTGCCTGAGTCTTCATCCTGCCAAACTTGTCATATGCACCACCTCCTTTCCCAAGCCAGGGTAAGTGTCCATGTGGCAGTGTACTGAGCCAGGCTGGGAGGTAGGTCTGGATGAGCAGTAACACAGGAGAAGGGAAGAAAGCGAGGACATGAAAATGGTAAAGTTCAGCTCAGTAATCAAATATCAGCATACCAGTGACACTAAGAGACTTTCTGGCACATGGAACAGGGCTGGGCCACTTTAGGCACAGGTGTGATTCTACTCCAGTTCAGACAGGCTGTGAAAACACAGCTATTGGGAAGTCCCCAAAAAACGGCCAGTGGCAAGAAAACAGCCCCCCCTACAGGCAGGCACCAAGATGCACTTTGGTGTTTTCCACAGAGGCTCCATCAGCTCCTGTCAACTCCAGCACAGCTGTGGATGGGGTTATACTGAGAAAAAAAAGATCCCTTACAGTTGTATTAATATTTATTCCCCACTTTCCATCCCCACTTTTCATCCAATATGAACAGCTTTAACTTATACACTAATTTCACTACTACAATGATTGAACTGTGCTAAGTAGATCTCTTGGATTAGGAACACTTCAACATTTCTATAAATCCAGGAAAGTCAAAGCTTGAATAAAATGAAGAATCACCTATGGTTGCTCCTTTTTGATGTCAATTTTTCTCAAGCACATATCTGAGCAAATGGAGAAAAAAAATATGTAACAAACTAGCATAAAGCACTGACACATTCAAGACATCACATTTTCATGTACATTTATTCCTTCAGTGCACACTAAAATGCACTATTTTATTGTATTGAATAAGGTCAGTCACTACTACTACCAGAAAAGAAATTTCCTGTAGCCATAAATTGAGCACCTATGTGCCTGTCTAGTAGAAGGACAAGAAGCTTTTTCTTTTAGTGAAAGTGTGCAAAACATTGAATATTATGTCACCATGAAAAAGTTAAAAAAATTAATAATTACCAGGATTTAACAGCATATCTAATTATGCTGCATTACAAAGGAGCAGGAAGAAAGGAATTGAAGTGACCTAACCATGCGGCATGAAATTTACTCACAATTTAGTTCATAATAAGAATAAAATCATATTTGATAACATTTAATGGCAAGAAGATGCGGCATTTTAATTGGACAAATACAAACAGAGCTATGCTCCTTCAAAAGCACATTCTCGTATTTCTCAGCCTGGCACAAAGGGTAGAAGTCACACAGGCAATTTAAATCAAGATCCCAATGTCTCCTCAGTCACTTGACAGATTTTTTGGTCTCACATTCCTTCATTATCCATACGTTTAGGATTCAGTCCAAGATTAAGTGTCTCTTTATAGGACGGCATTCTGTCTTTCCACAATGCAGTTGTGTATTCCTCCTGCCAGACATGCATTGATTAAGATAATGAATAAATCATGCTCACAGACAAAGCAGCATTTAAGATTATCTCTACATGAGGATCTGCATGTGGCAACACTTGACCTTGCCACACCAAATACATTTTGTCTCACTGGTCCTGATAAATATCCCTAAAAATGAACCAACAGCTGCACTCTGAATGCACTTACTAAGAGCAAGCCATTTCCATAACATTTTAAAAGTGCTGTGGAGCTCAAAGCTCAACCGATGGATCATGAATGATGAAGATGATGCCACTCATAGACATCTCAAAGAGAAAACCTAATGTCAGTCTCAGTCAGCCTCCAAGATGTAAACCTGCATCCCAAGCCAGGCAGTTTTAGGTACCAAAAAAAACCCCAACCCACCATCTTCATGACAGAAGGCTCTTTATTGCATATCAAGAAGAATTGGTTTGGGGAGAAAAAGGCAAAAATCACTTGAAGCCACAAGCTTGCAGGTGCTCACTTTAACTTCTACATCCTTCCATTTTCAGTCCTCCAATTACAGCAAAGAAAGGTTATTTCTATTGTTTGGTTGTTTGTTTTACCTAATGAAAATGTTTCTGGAAGCAAAGGGAAAACAACTGAGATGTCTCTGAACCATAAAGAAAAAGTAACACTGCTACAAAGATACCTGTTATAATGAGACATATATTATAGGACTCAGACTTCTGCTTCTGTGGTAATAGAAATTCCTTTACTTTTAAGCACCTCATACTTCCCAAATACATCATCATCACTGGTCTACTCTGGCCTCCAATCGGGAGGTCTGGAGACACACTATCTATAACGCTGCTGCTTCTTTTGAGAACGAACACAGGATCACACTTGAGAGAAAAGACAACGTAGAAAGAACCGAGTCTTGTCGATACCACCTGAGGAGTCTTTCTGCTGTGCCTTTTGCAATTGGACTTGTCTACCTCACATTGCCCTTTTTAGCCACCAGCGCATGTGTACCAAATGTGTGTAGAGCCCTTCCCAAATCTTCGTTCGCGAAGCCTAGCCATGATGATGACTTCCCAAATACACTTGTAGATATTTTGCTCTTTTTTTTCCTACACAATTAAAATATCACATTGAATAGACTTAACTGCTTTATTCTGAACAGTATTGTTGGATTTATTTTTTTTAGCTGGATGACACAAAGTAAGACAAAGTTTGAAAAAATATTTTACATAAAGTCTTTGCAATAAAAGATGCACCAGTGGTTTTTGAACTTTCTAGACCATGGACACTATGAAAATCTCACAGACCTTCTGATGTCCTTCACTGTCAAATTTTCAACTAAAAATAACAAAGAATACAATTTGGGTCTTCAGACCAGTGAAGATCTATTTATTATGGCAAGATTTATATACCACAACTTGGAAAATACTGAATACTACAATATGCACAACTAGGATAGACAACTGCAAAAGTGAAGTCAGTTCCACCTGAATTAGATAGGCCTTCTATTCCTACCACTCAGCCAAACTGCAGGAACAGATTCACCTTGGAATATTCTAGCAAAGTAATGCTGCTGCTCTTTTTCTTATCAAGGTGCCTCTGCTCCTGGACACCCTTCACTGCTCTCTGAGAGAGAGAGAGGCATCTCTAAGGCTCCTTGGGACTGATGCTTTGGTCACATCCCTATCCATGAGTGGCAGAGGGCTAAGAAGAGTACCTTTCCTTGGCCACTTAAACCTTCTAAAATATTTGTTCCTCAGTGCTCAGCTAATCATTGCTATTATGACTCCCAGTTACATACACAAGTATTCTCAAACATACTGTAAAAGCTCCAAATCACTACATATAATAGGCTGATCCCTGGAACACTATAAGTTGATTTAAATGCCTTTACATGTGAGCATTAAAAAAAGTGACTGAAGACAAGAAGGAGCTTTTCTTTGATACAATGTCAGAGTAGAAGCACAGTGTCTAAAGCTGCAATAGCATACAGGATTTTGGAGAAGTCAAACCTAAAGACACTTGTTTTGCAAGTGAAAATCTAGGACAGTGCCTGATTTAACAAAAAACCAAAAACAAACAAAAAACCCCAGTAGATTATTGGTCAATCAGGTGTTCACACCTATCCCAAAGCATAAGGAAAAGGACAAAAGCAATTTTTTTTTCTTTCTAACAATACGAAAGTATTATTGTCAAGGTATACAAACATGGGAAGATGAGGAAAAGAGTATGTATTTAGATGACAACCAGAAAAATCTCCTTTTCTATTACCTAGATTAAGACTCTTTACATTTCAGGATATAAACAGTAGAAGTTACTCTTCTTTTTTTTTTTTTTTTTTGCATTTATATAGAATGCTTTGGAGGAGCAGTCCTTTATAACTGGAATATTTACCATTTTTACATTGTATCCTAAAAAAAAATTGTCGTTTCCACCATAACCATTTCAGTGGAGAATAAAGATCTATCCCTACTACTTCTAGCACAAACAAGCATTTCTTCATCTAAACAATCTGGTATTGGCCTCCATTGGAAAAAGGCTACTGAATTAGAGGAGCAACTCCTATGTTTTAGCATCTGTTCCCCTTAAAATTTATGTATAATTCAGTACAGACTATAAAACACCGTATGAAGTCTCCTTCCAACGTGTAAACATTTTTTTATATCAACTGAAAGCTGTTCATTGACTGCCATTGGGTTTATATTGGCTCCCTCTTCTGGCTGACATGCACAAAGTGCAATTTATTGAGATTTTTTTTCTCTTTTCCATAAATTATGGAACTGTATCAAAGACAACAGCATAGCAGAGAAATAATTTCTTTTATAATCCACCCAGGAAAGTTAGCCAGTTCAAATCTGACTACAGCAGTATCAAAATTGCCAATCCAAAACACTAAAAAAAGGGAAAAAACCATACTCCACAGAAGGGAAAAAAATCTAAACAACCACTAGAAGAAAAACAGGCATGCTGGAGGAAGAGAATAAAAAAGAAATAGTGTTTGGGGGTACTGTTTAAGAAAAACAGTTCATTTTATGTTCAGAATCCTGAAGCAGATCTAGGAAGTTATTTTTGTCTCTGGTTTAAACTATTTATATTAGTTAATATCTAATGGTTCCATATATTACATTCAGGTAATAATTACCTAAAATATTTTTAAATATATTGAAAACATGTCTAAATAGATTTTCAAATGTTCTTTGATAGCAGTCCAAGGACACTTTTTAAAAGCTTATGAGAAATTTAAGCATGAATTATTCTAACTTTTAGCAATGAGTTAGTTTGGAAGATGGAATTTCTTTAGTACTTTAATATTTCCACTCAAACAAAGCCGCAGAAAAGCATCAGTTACCTGACTATCTTTGAATTATAGATTAACTTTTCTCTTTAAAAAATAATCAACCAACCATCATGAAAGTATGTATAGCCAAAGAAACAAATAGCTCACAAATATCTCAGAATAAACAGTGTAAATTTGCCAATCTCCGATTTGTTTTTCCAGCTCTTACTTCCACTGTATTGACTTTAGCTTTGATATGAAGAAGATTATACTGAAGGTTTCCATCACAGGGCAGGAGTTTTAACCTAGTCTTGACTACAGCATGTAAAATTACTCTATTGGCCATAAGATGAAATGTACCCAGGACTTGTAGCTAAGAGCTAACAGTTTTTCCCTCAGTTCCAAAGATTGTGATCCTTCGTACTGTGGAAATTTCCTCTTCCCAGAGATTGCAGCCTAGTTATGAATGAAAAGTCTGAAGCAAGGGTAACAGGCCTTGACATTCACACGTTTCTGCTCAGTGGGTAACAATTTAAACATGAGTACAAATAAATTATTATTAGAATATTTCTCTCATGTAGTATTACCTCTATTTAGTCTTTGTTCCGCTCAGGTAGTTCCTCCTGGAATTATTTAAATATGGATTATTTTGAACAGGCAACCAGAATATAAAACACAGGAACAGTCCCCAGTGAAATTTCAGAATTACACATTCAGTTTTTTCCACGAGGCTCTTGTGATTATGACTGTAAAAAGTGTTACATGTGGCAAGGCTCTATCAACATTTAAACATGAACTGAAGCAAAAAAGAATGCTTCAGATCATGCTCAGGTTTAGAATTTCTGCATGTTGCCCAATAAACAAGACTTTACGCATTGTACACCACACCACTATTCTTCCTTTATCAATATAGAAAGTCCAATGGACTTTCATTCTTTAGAGACAGATACATTTTCCAGCACATAGCTAACTTCAAATCCATCAGCTATTAATGTTCTCCAATATTTCAACCATTTTCTTGGTGAAAAAGAAAAGATAAAAAGAAACAAGCAGTTTCCAATGCAATTAATTTGATTGTTAAACATCGCATTTTTCTAGATAGAATATGACACTGAACATTTCTGTAACTCTGTTCCCACTTATTAAAATCCTATTATTTCTATTATTAAATTTGTAGAATAGAAAGAGATAGTCTGTCATTAAGATTAAAATTTCTTAAGGAGTATATTCATTAACAAGAATTTCAATAATTAGATCAATCATACCTAAATTTGCAGAAATTTCATCCTGCAAGAATGTTGATGTTATAATTTTGTGGCAGATAAAACCTTTACATCTGAATGCCTGAATTTCTGCTCAAGTTAAAAAAAAAAGTCATGAACAAAAACCATTAAAAAATGGTATTTTCTTAATATAGCATTATACATTTTTTCCATATACTCTGATTGTATTCATAAGTAGGCCTATGGGAAAAGAACAGCAAATAAAGAAGACTGGATAGGTCTGCAAGATTTCCATTTCCTGGTTACCAAAGAAGCAGTTGCAGGCTGGATTCCACACCACACAGCTCACGGAACACCTGCAGAGGTAGGAATGTGTTTGCACTGGAGGAAGCAGTGGCCACATGAGGTGGGAAACACCAGTGCAGGCAGTGCAAACACCTTCCATCACAGAGAAAAGCAGCGCTCTATGATTACCCTGGTTTTCCCTCAGGCATCCAAACCCATCAGGCTTCCCTGCCAAGCTTCTGTCACCCATTGGCAACCACATTAAGAATGGTCTACATTTCAGTATTATTAGAATAAGCTAGTTTTAGTTATAGAAATGTGAATTTGGCACTATTGCTACAAGCGTACACAAATTATACAAATCAATTACTATTTGGAAAACAAACTGGCTTATATTTACCACTGATCAATGATGCAGCAGAGTACTTAATGACACCCAAGCATTTGCAGAACATGCAAGCTGTGCAAACAAAATATATAAACTTAAGAATCTTGGACATCTACCTAGAGCTCTTTAGCTGATACTTCTGGACTCTAATGAGTTTACTGTGTATGCATCACACACACATAACTATTGGCTGCAACAGAATCCTTCAATGCAGCTTTAGGATGAGCTGAAAAATGGAAAATTTCCTTAAAAAATGACATTCATTTACAGTCAGTGCTATTAAAAGAAGAATAAAGACAACAATAAAAACTGCACGTTGGATGTAGCTGTAACAACTCACATCCATGAGTCCTTCAAGTATAATTTAACAGGTTTTTGGTAAAGTGATCTCACCAGAAGAGAGTTGTGACAGAAATAGAATTGAATTGTGCAGATCATTAACTGAACAAGTTGTTTCCTTTCAGATTGTTTTTTTAGCTTTCAATAATACTGTTTTTCATTTTTTCATATTTTTCTGGGGAAGTCTATAGTTTTCAAATTCAACATTTCCGTCTATATTTTTCTCAAAGTATTACTGCATGATCCATCTTTATCAATGTACAGCATAACATGTGCTGCTGTAACACACTTTTGTGCATGAACTTTGCTCACAGCAAACACAAGACCACACAACTTATCCAAAGTCTCTGCCACCCCAACTAGAGAATTCTTACCTCATGACAGGAGAAGAGCCGAACTCCTTCCATCTGATGGAAGACTGGGTAGTGGGTGTTATCGATTGTATCTCGGCGGTAGACATCTCCCACTGCCAGAAAGGCATCTAGGCCAGAGTGTATCAAGTCCCACTGATGAGCTGATGTATGTGCTCTTAGCATGTGGTCACGATTCAAATAATAGTTATCCTCTTTCCTTCTGCTGGCATGGTTTTGAGGGATAAGTAAACTATCAAAATTCTGCTGTACTGTAACCACTGGAGAAAGACCATCATAAACAGAAAAGAGTGGAGTCCCACGGCGTCCTATATAGTGTTTGTAGAAGTGGTCCTTCACCTGCTCCTTGATCAGCCACAGTGGGTGATGTTTTCTGTTGTGCAAGTTCTTCCCCACCTTGGAAAGAATCTTCTCTGTGACATTGCTGTAGTCATCCTGAGGATAAGTTTTACCAAGCAGTTCCACAGTATTTGAGCATGGCGCACTGGCAGCAAAATCTGAAGGTACAGACTTGGATGAAGAATGCCTTGAATGGGTGGGAATTCCTCTTACCTTTACTTTTGGTGATAAAGCTGTTTTAGAATATTTAGCTACTCTCATGAACTTCCACAGCATTGCCATTGTGAACCTTTTTATAATCTAGAGAAGCAAAAAAAGAATTAAAAAAATCTGAGTTAGGAACAGCAATCTTGCTGTAGGAATTGCTAGTATCTCAGGTATACATTAATCCAAATGTCTGCTAGATTAGTATGACCAAGTTTCTGTTATAAACCACTATTTTGACTTCAGAGGGAAAATACCCTTGTGATCAAATTTCAGCTAGGATATCTTATCCAATTATCGGGCTTCTGCATCACTGCATCAGTATTAGTGACTCCAGAACACTCCTTAACCCCGTTCTAGAAAATGCTCTTTACAGCTGAATAAACATCAGGTCTTCTTTCAAACAGTATTTTTCATCCAGTTAAAATATGAGGCAATAACCAAACATTACTTCCAAGAAACTCAAAAATTTAACAGTGGCCTTTGGCAGGCAGAACTTGCTTATAATAAAACCCCAAGCATTAACTTCTTGTTTTATCACCTTCCCCCATTAGCAGAAGCTGCAGAACACGTTTCAGATCAACCTGATGTATGTGGCACACGCTGTGCAATCACCACTACTTCTTACTTAACACCAAACAAAACCAGTTTAACCTTTCAAACTACTGAACCACTTGGAAAAAAAAAAAAAAAAACATGGTCAGACCACAAGCCATTTATTTATATATAAACAGAACATTAAATTCACATATGAGTATTGCACAAGATTCACAATAAAGGCTCCATATAAGTCAGAACCAGTGTTAGCATTTTGGAGAAAGCACAAAATCCCTTTTTCCACATGTTCCCAGGAAGGCTATTTTCACAGGTTCCACTGCTGTACTGGGCAGGCAAGGTTGTCAGATATCAGGAAGGCAAATGAGGTGATGAGATTCTTAAAGTTGTCTGGACTGAAGTATTCATTTCTTATCAAAGGGCCATCTTTACACATCCTCCCTGTTTACAAACAGGTTTTGTGTTTCATGCGTACACAGCTGCATTACTCTGCAGTGTTCAAAGAGAGACTTACAAAACCAAGGAGTTTTGAGGATGATGAACCTTTCGGTCACTCCAAACGCATAAGCCCATTTTGAAATGCAAAATTTCTTGAAAATCTATAGTTGAGCTTCAGAAATATTAGCATAAATTCCAGTAAAATAATTAAAACATTACAATTTGCTTATTACGGAATGGGAAAACAGAGGTATTAGAAGTTAAGTCACATCTGCTCCAAACAAACTGTCTTGTATTTCCCTATGAACCAAGAAATAGAGGGTCACAGGTTTCCTGGGTGAAAGAGTTTTCTGTGAAAGTCACCTTAAAGAACTGGGGGAAGACAAGACATTAACAACGAATACAGCAGACTTTTCAAGAGATACCTTTCCATCTTTATGCTAAGATTACAATCTGGCTTGCTTTCCACAGGAACATAGGAGAAACAAATGTAAATAAAGAACAAGCAAGCTAAGATTATTTTTCATATTGTCATGCTTTAAAATATGTACACAAATAGAATAAACATAGCAGAATACAGAGTCGCAAAAAAACAAATCTGTAAAAGACAATGGGTATGTTCACATTTGGCCCCCTTTCTTCTGTCTTATGCCTAGATGTTCTCTATGGGTCTGTTTCATGCAGTAATTGTATCTCAATCAATTAAAATAAAAGCAAGTTGGGTAGACAGAAATTAAATTTGGCAGGCAGCATAATATTTGGTTTAATCCTTTTTCTGGTCAAATATCTTCAGAAGTAAAGAGCAGCTGCAACTTTTATCTAGTTTTGAAACCTTTAAGAAGGACTGCCTTTGGCAGGGGGGGCAGTTAAGAGTTTACAAAACTATTTCACCAAATTAGTTATTGACCATTACTGAGAAAGTTCACCCATAAATGAATTCACACAGACACAGAAACCCCTCTGACACAGGCTAAACAAGGGACAGTCTTACATTCTGAGAAGAGGCTCCATTTTTCCAAAACATACGTTCTCCTTCACGGAAAGAAAGTTCTCATTTTTAAACAGCTGCTTGAAATATCCAGTTCTAGTCAGATAATGAATTCAGCTTCCCTTAAGTAAATATCACCATCTGCCCATACATTTATTTTTCTAAAAAATTCAATTCAAAACTTACACATAACTGTAATGTACAAAAAACTCTTGTGACTTTATTGTAATTCTCGTGATGTTTGCTGGTTTCGTAAATATCATTCCTCTGAGAATCAGACAACCATATGAGAAGTTGAACTTTCACAGAAAGAGTTCTCATGATTATAAATCTCTGGAAAGAGAAATTAGAACATGATCCATAAGTGCTGGGGAGGGGGGATTTTTATTTGTTCATCTGTTTATTTTAAGACTCATTATTTATCAGGGAGACTATAATGTATACATCTCTAAGGACCTACCTGATATTTTAGTATTTGTAATGAGCAACATTTTGGTATCAGTTTCTGATAGTTCAGAAACACTAACTTTTCTGAGCAAGTGATATATACTCCTCACAAAACTGTATGGGAGAAAAACCTACAGATGAAGTTGTATCAGAGTTTTCATCCTAACATTATGCTTGTGTCTTAGATAGTTAAATGGCATTATTACCTGTATTATTATTCTAATCTGAAGCAAAATCTATTCTGAGCAGTAAGGAAAAAAAGTTACAGTTATCCAATGTTTTCTGATGAGTTATCCAGTGTCCAAGTACTGCAAACAACAGCAAACATGCACTAAAGGAGCCACTGACATGGTATCACAGAGAGCACCAGTCCTTCAATAACACTCTGATGCTTCCCTCTCCCACCACAGACTCATGTATTCTTTTTCCAGGACCTTTACAGAAAGATGGTATTGGACTTAGTCCAACTCAGCTGGTCATAACTTACGTTTGGGGAGAGAAGCCACAGAGAAGAAAGAAAATAAAACATGTTTACGCTCTGTATGCCGTACACAAAATATTCAAATCAAAATAATGTTTACCAAGGTGAAGACCAATACTGGAAAATAAAGACATCTTTTTACTTTTCTTGTACCATACTCAGTGCTAAGAACACACTAATTACTTACGTTCACTTAATAACAAACAGACAGTTATTTATGTCTATTTATTTCTGTCTACAGTTACCTAAACATCTACAAAAAAACAGTTTAAATTTATAATTTTCTTTATTTCCACCATGCTTATTATTTGGCAGTGAAACAAAACTGGTTTCTGTGCACACTGACAAAACCTGAACCCCACAGAAAGGCCTGCCAGCCAGCTAACAAGCACAGGGAGCCAAACAGCAGCTGCAGGTCCTGTAGCTGAAAACAAGTACATAAACAGGAAATAAACATTGAACAACCACCACTGGCATCTACAATCCAAGGATGGTAAAGCACTCCACCAGCATTACCAGTGGGTCACGCATTCCGGGCCTGACAGTGGCTCCAACTCGCAGCTGGGAGCTGATGCAGGGCTTTGGAAGCAGGCTGCCCTGCCAGCAGCTCCTGGTGGGGCTTCTCAAAGCACTGCAGGTGGACATGCAAACACCAGGCCCATGATCTCCTATTAAACAGATAGTTACCCAGACACTGCCATCAACACATTCCAGGGTACCTCAGCAGCTCATCTGAAGCTCCATGGGCCTCAAGTCCCTCAATCTCCATACTGAGATGTGTAATACAAGTGCAGGAACTCAGAGCTTTGAGAGGGATGATATTATAAATTATGTTGTGGCAATACATTTGTAACTATGACTGCACATGGGTATAACCTTTAGAGCAGCTTCAAGGCAGACCAGAGGGCAGGAGGTAGCACCCATGCCACCCAGGGATGAAGGAATCAGAACAACTCTGTCCGTGCTGTGCATAGATCAAGCACAGATGTGACCGCACTTGCCAATGTCAGTCCTCTACCACATCTACAGCAGTTTCACTTGATGGACAAGGCTCCTTCATCCCCCACAGAAACCAGCCACCCCCATGCAGAGGCTCAGCAGACAGTACACATGCTGAAGCATGCCACAGTCAAGAACTTAACAACAGGGAAACAGCACACAGAGTACATCAGACAAAAAATATCATGATTTTGGAGCACATGCAAAAGGTAGTTTGACGTGATAAGGGATCATACTGCTGTACTGTTATGGCATGTCCTTTCATGTTTAAATCCAGGTTTCCATGTCACAGTGCAGCAAGGATTAAGACAGCATTATCACAGCTGCAGTGGTATTTGTCACAATTCCCCTCTACTCAACTGAGGTTTAGGAAAGAATCATAGACTTGGTGAAATTGTCTTGAAAAAGGAGGACAAAAGAGAGGTAGTTTAGCAGCTCACAATGAAAAGAACAAGGGCTGTGCACCAGCATTGTTTCATTCACTCACCTCTCACAGAGAAGTGGAAGAGAAAGAACGTTCCTGTTTGAGCAAACTAGAGCCACAGTGAACAACATGGGGCTGCTTTTGGGGCCATTTGCTAGGTATTACTGTCCATGAGTCAAGGGCAGCCTCACTCTTGCTGATTGCTTTTCTCTATGCCCTGTGCTTTTTACAGCTTATGGCTGCAGAAACACAGATGGGCTACTGCATACATAAACTGAAGTACATGACGGATTTGAAACCAAAATTCTATGAAGATGAGAGTCTGTCTCCTATCCAAGAATAGCTAATTAATGCAAGACTCTGAAGTGCCATGGAAAATGTTAGAAAAGTTGGGCTGCCACCATTTTGTGATGTGACAGCTTTTATCTACCGTATGTGTGGGGAGGGGAGTTCAACCAACATAGCATATGTTAAAACAAAAATTATAAACATATGTTAGGCTGCTAAAATTGGACGTTTACCAGTCTGCTTAGCAATTTAGCTAAGCATTGAATTTTAGTTTTGAAAACTATGCAGGCTTACAGCAGCAAATATCATTGTATTGCCATGACCATATCTATATAGCATAGGATATAACATAAATTATTTTGCATGCAATACTAATAACAAGCTCAGCATTTTTCTTGCTCATTTTAAAATGCTGATATACTGCTGCGCACTAGAACAGACTTTCAGTGTTACCAAGCATGCTGAATTTATGTAACACACACAGACCTCTGAAATAGTCTTACAGTTAACTTAGAATGGATGCATTGTAGAACCTGACCTTCCCAGGGCAGAACATTATTAGATGCCCCTGATGACGGCTGAACAACCAACCGAATAAAATACTGCAAGCACTACCAAGCATTGGCAAGATAACATAGCCTTCAACTATTTGGCTCTTAATTTTTTCATATACTTGGAGCTCATCTAGTTAATAATCTGTCAGCAAGTTCCATGAAACATAGAGAATAACTTTTTTTTATTTTGTTATTTCTCTTAACTGAAGCAAAAATGTTTCATAAGTTGGCTGGCTGACTACACTGTAATGGTGATACATTAATCATGATGTCACCTTCGGCAACATTTTGCGGCTTGCAATATCAAGAAAGAAAACTAAAATACCGTTTCTGGGATAAGGTATGACCCTGCTTTCTCTCAGTGCTACATATAAGAACTTCTTAAATATGAAATAAAAGGTATTAGCAACCATGCTCCTTTTACACTAATCCAGAAGACGCCTACTGCCTGAACAAAAGCCAGGATTTCATGGCCTGTACACGAGCACCTGAACGCAAGCACAGAAAATGTGATCCATACTTCTGAGGCCCACCTTCAAACACCTTTACCATTCTTTAGGACTGCAAGATTGGCTAAGTCAGTCATAGTGAGCAGCAAGTCTTTGGAGAAGGGAATACACGTCTGGGCAAGCATCAGTTTTAAAACTTTTTGAATCATCACTTGATTCCACTCACCATTTAGTTTCAGGTTGGATATTGCAAATGATGACAAATGTCATCCCACTGCAACAAGTTTCAGTTCCCCAAGCGGTCCCCCAAAGGCTCTAGTTTCCCTGATAAACAGTGTCACTCCAGGATTGTTCAGATTTATTCATAAGTTTCCCACTTACTAAAAAGATAATGCTTCCAGACATATGATTCAAGACAAGAAAAATGCATTTCAGTAGCCAAAACACTTGCAAACTCTGTAGCTGTGCTGTCAAGCTGGTTATTAGACTGTTTCAAAGACTGCCATAATCACGTTTCAAGACAACCTGCATTGAATGTGGTTTAAGCGGTTCAGAAGTAGAATATCCACACACTGGAATTTATGATCGGCAAGCTAATCAGGTACATCAAATTGCTAGTCAGATACTATACAATTTTTCAAAAGAGAAAAGTATACAGCATAATTGACAATAGAAGTTAACAAATTCAGATGTCTGGGGGGATGGAAAGACACCAAACTCCCTAATATGCAAAATTCAGAAGTTTAAGGTGAACAGTCTAACCATACTATTTTCAGTTAGACTGAAAAAACCCAGATGAATAAAAGCAAATCAAGCAAATTCAGAGGAAATTCAATGACTTCATTATCATTGAAAAAAATACTATATATATGCATGACAGTAGATTAAATTAAGGAAAATCACCCCTGCTCAGAAACAATATCTGTTTTTCTCTCATTTATACATCAATTATTACTTGATTTATTTTTGCACAAATTAAAACAGAGTCTGTCATTTATTGAAGAAATGGCAATAAGGCCCTTTAGTGATAGCTTTCAATAGGGTGCCATCGATGACTAAGGCACACAATACTACTGAAAATAAAGCAGCTGTGAACTTGAGCTCCTGCTGACATACCTGTGCTCTTCCCTTTCTCCACAAGGACACAAAACAGTTAATAGTCGATTCCATATTTTAAGGGAAAATCCTCATCACCCAAACATATTTTGAATACATTACATTACAAATTACAGACAGTGAAAAGGCAATGCAGAAATCATTCTTAAATATTCTCAAATGTGTCTCCTGCTTTTAAATATATCCATTTTTCATGGAATGCAATCTGAAAAAACACTACCTTTGGCTGCTGAGGGAATATTCTTTTTCCAATACCTTGAAAATGTTGCCAAACAGCTTTCTGTGTTAGAAGACATATTGTAAATAACTGTCAGATGAAAGGGACAGAGACTTTCAAATACCTATAAAATCCTCACTGTAGTCAAGATTTGGCCACTACCTCTTCTGTCTTCTTTTTATCTTCAATATCTGCAACTCAATTATATGTATTTTTCTACAGAGGTATATTCCAAAAAGAATTTTACTCCTATAGAATTTCGTCTGAGTACAAATAAATTTGTTTAGAAATGAAATATTAGCTGTATTTATGTGCAGTGGTGAACTTTCTTAGTTCTCATGGATTAACTACACTATTTGGGCATAATTGAACAATAGACACCTTATCCTGCCTTCACAGGAGGACAGAGTAATAACTTTTATGAAGTCAGTTATTATATACCAACAATTGGATGTGTAGACTTGGTAACAGCACAAAGGATAGCCAAGGAAGTTTAAGTAATTAATTTTAAGCCTTAATAATTTCTATTATGGTAATGCAAAATGTTACACCATAAAACAAAAACTCCGCAGTCTGGGGGGCCATACGTGTGGTGCACACTGCATCCCTGAAACAGCAGAACCTCCTGAACCTCAGCCCTGCTTCTCACATAGAGAAAGTCACCTCTGGGTGTGTTACCACGTGTTGGTGATCTCTGTGGGGTGAAGCAGCACACTGCAATACACTGCAGAAAAGTATAAAGCTACAAGTATATGCTTTAGTTCTACAGTTGCAGGCAGAATGGCTCAACCACTCAACCACAGCCACCAGAAGGGCTGGATCCTTCCCAGCAATGGCAACAGCAGCCCAGCCCTTTGGAGGTGCCTGTGGTAGACAAAGAAGATATCCTTCAACTCAGAAGGCATCATTCATCAATCAAATAATGATTGCCTGCCTCCTCCAGGGAAATGGCAGAAAGAAACTCAGCAACATCTTACACACCCAGATACAATGCACATGCTACCCAATGGGCTACATTTAAACTTCAGCTGCAAAATATTCAACATGCCCAACAACCCAAGCTTCTGATGCCTCAGAAACAAACCCAGTCCACCGAATAGTATGAAAACAGAATGATTTAGACACGTCATGCCAGAGGAGGCAGCTAACATGAATCACTCAGTTCATCTACAAATGAGAAAAAGTCTTCAGCTTTACCTGCTGTTTCCTCATAGTAATGATTCTCCTTCTGTTCTTCAGGAGAACTAGGGAAATCCATGACTTACCACAGATATCCAGATGCCCTCCTTAGTAATACCCTAGCCAAAACACTGTAGTTTAAAAGAATAATTTAAGTATTATTATGAAATAAAAAATATAATTAATATTTTAGATCAGGGAGTTATTTCATGGTTGTAATATGTATGCTAATGGCCCATCTTCGCGAACGAAGATTTGGGGAAAGGTCTTTTACCTTTCCAGCCTGCGCAATGGATTTTTTAGGTGAGACACAGCCTGCGCTGAACTGAGCCCACCCTTTAATCCTAAGGTTCATCTGCCGGGGCCAAGCAAGCTTGGACAATGGCAGTGAGGTCCAATCAATATTTAAATCAAACAAGCCTTTTTTATGACGTTTCAACCCTAAATAGCAGCAGGAGTACTGTAAGTTTTCTGTCACATCAATTTTCTGTCACATCAACCTTTAAAGAGATCAGTTTCACAAATTTGCTATGATCTTGAGCCAAAATATCACCAGAGTTCCACACCTCAGACCTAGCTGTGAACTTGATCTCAACTCAAACTCTGACTCAGCTTGACTATCATTCCTTGGTGTGTCTCTGTTACAGAAATAATGAAAGTGTGAACAGACAGAGCCTTTATCAGGACTATGCATTTTTCAACAGCATATTTCAACAAAAAAAAGAAAGACAGAAACAAATATCTCTACAGATTTTACTTCAGAATCAATAAGTCTCACAGATTTCAGTAGGGATAAAGAATAGAATATGCAGATGCTTGCAGTGGAAACTCCACTGCAGTCCAAGACCTCCTAGTTAGAAAATGTATGGTCATGTGTGTACAAATAGGTCATCTCTAGTTTGAACTGCATCTTCATTTATCTGTTATGGGCTCTGACAAAGCATTTAAGGAAAAGATTAGAAGGCTTCTAAGGAAGGCACTACATTTACCTGCCTGGGGCATACCACTTCTCTGAGGTTGGTAGGAACAGAGCTGAAATATTAATGACTAAGCCATTTGTCAAGAAAATTATGCAATAAACCTTGGCAGCCACACAAAGAGGCTAGCAATAAGATGCCAAGCTAGAGCAGTACAAACTAAGCACTTAAAAGAGAAAAGGGGAAGGAAAAAAAAAAACACTTTCATTTGCTTGTCCATACTCATAAGCTTTGGAAGAAAACAATAAGTTAATAATTGGGAATATTTAAATATAAAAATTCATCAGATTCAGAATTAGTAATAACAGATACTAACTTCTGAAAGGGACTGTGAGCTTCTCTAAGTCTATAATTCATGTTTTCAAGTCTTGATTCATTCAAGACATTTATTCTAGTGATGTTCTTTGCAAATAAATTGCTTACCATGTAATATGTGAGCTAAAAGGTGGCAACACAGAAGCCACTTAATTATTGAAAATTCACATAAACAAATGAAAAAAAAACCCAATTCCAATAAATCAAATAAACCAAAACCAACAAAGAGAAAGATACACAAGACCAAACACATACACTCTTCTTGAGGTTTCCTCACAAATCACAGTGAAGAAAAACAAAGACAAAACTTGACCACTCTGTCAAATCAGATGTTAAAATCTATACTCCTTAAACAGACTAAAGATCTAAATCAGTTTCCTGAGTTTCCAAGTATTATTTCTTCATCACAGGAACTTGCAAAACAAAAGGATTAAAAAAGTTACATCAGAATCCATGTTTTATATTTATTAATAAATTTTCATATAATTTTAATATAAGTATGTTTTAGGGCCAGGCGTACTATAATTTTATATAGCATTCTTTATATAATAAATTTGAAGGGTTAGTTTTTAAAGGGACATCACTAATTTTTACTGTAAGCAAATTTGAAAAGCATGCAAAGCATCATCATATACCAAAAAGTAATCTAAAATTTTCATTAAAAAGAAGATGGTCCTATTAGCAAATAAAGCAAAGTAATAATGTATGATGGTTTACCAAAACATAGCCATAGTCACTTTGCCAAATTTTAAATATGTCCAACAATGTGATCCATGGATTCAATCACCACTGACACCAATTGGACACACTGGCATATATCCAGAACAGTGTTATGCAGAAGCATTTAGACTTTCATTAAGCAGCACTCTGCTCTTCCAAACCATATCTCTACACAGGATTTCAAAGTGCTTTTCAGCCATTAACCAATTAAGCTCTACAATACCCTCATGGGAAAAGTATTGCATTATTTATATCCATTAGTCCGGCAGCTCCCAAGTCAAAAGTACTGTACTTGAATATGTTGGTGTGGTTTTTTTCCAAATTGTTTTGATTATATTGCCATTTTTCTCCATGTTCAGAATTTTTTTGTTGTTTGCAATATCATTTTATCAACATTTTAGCATGTATAATGGCTACTGTGAATAGAATCAAAACGTTCTGAAAGCAGCTTGCCAAAACTGCTTTTTAGGAACCAAGCTGAATAGTTCAGAAATACTGAGTTATTACCACTGAAACAACCTTCTCCCTGAATGTGCAGATCTTTAAGGCTCAAACCTACATTCCTTGAGCAAGAATTACAGAGTCATTGCTCTGTCTGTATTGCAGCTCAAACTTCAATGTAATCACAATTGTAATTACAATTACATATTTAGCATGACCAGGAAAGATCAACTGGAGAGGCAGAAGACATTTAGGAAGATGGGAAGGTATATAAATGAAGCACTATTAAGGCAAACAGGGATATGAAAGAAGAAAGCAACAAACTGGGTGAAGCAGCATGGGACAGACTATTGCTACTGGACCTGGCCTATAGCAGGGTTGGCCTGCAATCCAACATGGCATTCACAAATTGTCCTCTTCTAAATAGGATTTCACCTCTGCTCACCACATTTACCAGAACCAAAGACAGCATTTACTTCAATGAAGAAATTATATCACAGAATAGTTAGGGTTGGAAGGGACCTCTGGAGATCCCCTAGTCCAACACCTCTGCCAAGGCGGGATCACCTAGAGCAGGTTATACAGGAATGCATTCAGGTGGGTTTGGAATGTCTCCAGACAGGGAGACTCTACAACCTTCCTGGGCAGCCTCTTCCAGTGCTCTGCCACCCTCAACGTAAAGTTCTTCCTCATACTGAGGTGGAACTTCTTGTGTTTTAGTTTATGGTCATTACTGCTCGTTCTATCACTGGGCACCACTGAAAAGAGTCTAGCAACATCCTCTTGGCACCAACTTTTGAGATATTTACATGCATTGATGAGATCTCCTCTCAGTCTTCTCTTCTCCAGACTAATCAGAACCAGCTCCCGCAGTCTCTCGTCATAAGAGAGATGCTCCAGACTCCTCATCATTTTTGTGGCCCTTCATTGGACCCTCTCCAGTAGGTCCTTGTTGTTCTTGTACTGAGGAACCCAGAACTGGACACAGCGCTCCAGATGTGTCCTCACTAGGGCCAAGTAGAGAGGCAGCATCACCTCCCTCAACCTGCTGGCCACACTCTTCCTGAGGCACCCCAGGAGACCACTGGCCCTCCTGGCTGCAAGGCCACACTGCTGGCTCATGGTCAACTTGTCATCTACCAAACTCTCTTTGTTAGGTGCCTCTTTTGAGAAAGTTTCACATTGCACCTAACCATGCTGCTGCTCTTGCCTCAGATTATGCAGAGTGAATCATGTCAGCCTGCCAGTCCAGCCAGGGAAAAGAGTATTACATGGTGGGTTGTCTCTCCTGTATCAGTTGTTAGAACTGAGAGTCATCTGAGATTCAAACAAACACAATACATACTGAGATCCAAGGCAGACAATAAAGATAAGAGTTTTTAAATCATATTTACCAGTGAAAACCTAGACAAAAGCCACAGAATGCCATCAGCCTTATGACTTGGCTTTGCTGGGGCCAAAGCACCTGGTGCCGGCCTGGCACAGCAGCGAACATTTGCTGAAGAGTTTTGCAGAACCAAGGTCCAAGAGCTCAGCAGAGCTCACAAAAAGCCTGTGACAACTTGGTAGAAAAGGAAAAAGAAAGCAAATACAACCAATGTCATGAAACAGCAAAGAAGATGTCTCCTACACCATGTGTTGCTACCACTGTAGTAATCATTGATGAAAGGCAGACTAGAGATGAAATATGAAGATACAGCACCTAGAAAGGAAAATTGTCATGCCTGGTGCCACCAGCATAGGCAATCAGAAAGAAAAGTGAGGTCAGTAGTGACAGATACCACATACTAGTGCTAAATAATCCTACATTATAATCTTTACCATTACCAGCAGGCACACAGAAAGCAAATTGACAGTCTAATTTAAAAGCATTATAATATGCTTTGAAACCAAATCATTATTGAACAGAGATGCAGGTCTCAAATGTGCAATAAGGCAGGAGACAGTGACTTGCTGATGCCAGAACCAACTACGCAGGACCTGGAAGGTCACAATGAGTTAGCTTAAGATTAAAGGCATGGTCACAATCCCTCTCCCTTGCAGACATAAAAACTAAGAGACTACTGCTATAATGAGCTACAGGTAAGGGCAATCAGGTCTTACTCAGCAAAGGAAAACATAACCAGCATCTACACAACATCTAACTCAGACAGCCACAGATTTATGACGTGTACTAACATTTTTTTCATTACGAACCTTTTATATTAAATTCCTGGAGTTCCAGGGACCACTGCCCAGACCTATTAAATAAAAATGATGGTTTAGACTTGTTTTATTACCTGTACCTGCTAGTTCACAGTTTCAATTTCCCAAGTATAGGCTATCATGTAACCAACATAGGGATTGACTGGTTATATTTCAGGAGGTTTTTTCTCTGTAGTTATTACCTTATTGGGTCTTTAAAAAATATTAATTTTATTTTCATGCTGCTACTCTATGTATACCCAAAGAACCAAAAGAATTAAAGGAAATTTGTCCAGCTTGTTATTTGATACATCCAAATCTGGCCCAGCATTGCACATCATCTCATTTTCTAAGCAACATTAAAATATGAGTATTGGGCTTTACTTTTGAGGCTGAGTAGACAAAATCATATTCATCATGTCTGATGAACTTGACTTTCTACAAATCTACTGAATGCCCAAATGTGAACTCCCAATTTAGTCAAAAACAAATAATCAAAACGGTAAAGATTTCTATGCATAATTGTAAACATCTAACTTCTGTGCCTCTAAAATAAACCTGCACATTGTAATTTAATATTCGTAAATTACAACTAAACATTTCCAGTTGTTTACATACCCTCACCACCCTCCAGCCACACCAAGGTGTGTGCTCAGCTGGATGATGTTGCAGGACTCTGCTCTGTTCCAACCACATGACAGCCTAGACATTTCTAAAACTGTTTTGGGGTCTGTTCTTAGCTAAAGCCAGACTGAACATCAAATACTGTTTAAAAAAAAATTACTCACATGAAGCTAAAACATTATTTCAGTGAATAACATAAGGGCTGAAAATCATTCTTAAATTATCAGACCCTTTATCAATCAGTCTAAATTGTTTGACATCAGTTTTTTGTTGTTTGGGGTTTGGGACAGGGGAAGGGGTATTGGTGTATGTTGTTTGGGACTTTTTAATAACAATTATTTTCTGTCAACCCACCATAAAACCCTGAATGCCCAACTGCTGCCTTTGACATTTACTTAGACATGGTAGAACAATTGAACTTTGTTGAGAAATATTTCCATAAAATCTATCAGGTAACTAAGCCAAGGATGAAAAGTCTCAGGATGAAGTTTTTTTTAATTCTGAAAGTTAAAGCTGCTATCCTGGACCTTTATGGCATTTAATTTTCTGCCATTCCAATGCACTCACTGGCGTCTGGGCTGAAAACTCTCCTTTTCCAATTCTTCTCTCTGTCATCTGCTGGGAGACAGAGTAGAATAATTAGATTGACTCAAACAGTTGCTGATTGCTTTCAGTGTGTAGTTCACTCCTTGACACCACAGAGTTGATAAATAAGGATCAATAGACTGGATAGGAATGTTTAAATTTTCTGCAAAGCTGAAGAGCAATGCCACAAAAAATGAAATTTGTTTTTTTAAGGCATGTTATCTGGAAAAAAAAAGTTGAGTGAGTTTACTGCAAGTTTACCAAAGAGATGTGAAGACTAGAATTTAAGTTGAATGAAACTGAAGTCTGTCTTTTCAATTCCTATTTACTTATTACTACAGAGCTACCAAGAAACACAGCTCAAAGGAAAGGAAAGCAATCATGGCATGATGTTAACATTTCAACATCAGTTAAAGAAGAATTACATCCAGTGAAGGGACCATCAATCACAGACTATTGCAAAATCATGTATAAAATACATCATTACAGTCAGCACCTCTGTTCATAATTACAGCAGAAGATCCAATACTGGATACAGGGAGACAGAAAATATAAAAAATAATAACAAATTACAACCTCTTGCTTCCAGGCTGATGCTGTTTAATTAAGATAGAAGCAGGGGAAACGTAGTTTCCTGCATTATCATTGCTGCCATAGACCTGTTGTGGGCATTCAGTCTTCTTTAGCACTACATGAATTTAAAATAAAATAACTATAAAGCACTCAATTAGACATTTTTCCCTTAAATTCTTCTCATAACAAAGTAGTAAACTAGGGAAAGGTCTTTTACTGTCTTACACTTTCAAATTACTTCTCTGCTATTATGTTAAATTTGATACCATGTAAAGTGGGTAAAGTAAAATGTTTCATCAGAAAAATAAGAGCTAAATTTCACTGGTCTTTTAACCTGAGGCACTTTCTGTTGCCCTTTTTCTAAGTTTGCTGTAAACTGGGAAATAAGTGATAAAAAAGTATCTTTTGGTATGTCTGAAGATGACATATTCACACTTTAAGCTGAAATTCACCACTTTGCAGAAGGGTGGCACTCAACTCATTGCCAGGTAAGCCTTATAAAGATAACTATAAAATCATGTACAGTTCTCATGCCTGAATCCTGCACTAGATGTACCTCACATAGCAGGAATTTGCACCTTAAGGCCTGAACTCAAATCTGAGAACTTTAGAAAACAGCCTTCTGACATACTAGGTACACTCAAAGATATTTTGTGTAAATAACATTACATCGTCATATGAATGTCTTGCATTCAACTGTTCAAATAATTATTCCATCCTAATGGTATCCACACTTTCTTCAGCTCAAGTTCCACGAGCATCAAATTTAGTGCAGTCAGTACAACTGCCATGCTGACTTCTACCATTTCACTCAAAAATCACAACTTTATTATTAGCAACCTGTGGGCAACTAGTGTAAATATCAGTAGACTTGGATTCATCTTAATCAGTGTTTGTTTCAATTCCACAGGCAAACAAGACATCATCAGTAAAATACTACAGTAAGAATACTGATGACTTTATATCCAGCTATAGTCAACTGCTGTGTTTGGCCCTCTCTCTCCACACACACAAAAAAACCCCCAACATTGAATTCTGTGTGTTTTTCAGTATGTCACATAATGCTTCATGACATACAATTTAGCCCCTGCCATATTTCTTTCTATAGATACAAATGTCAAATAAATCATACATATATATTCCATGACACAAAGTATTCACCAGTGAAAAAGTGGAAGTTTAAGTTCTGAGACAAAAGACTATTTTTCGATATTCGAAAGGATACTTTCATATTTGCCTCTTCTCTAGCAACTGTGACCTGCATTGTTACAAGCACACAGTAATTAATTACAGGAGTCCAAAACATAAGCCCGACTATCAAAGGTACTAAAAAAGCCTCAGAATATCCTGCTGTCATTATCCAACTATTGGCAGCTACTAGTGTGCAAACAAGCACCTCCACGTTTTATCTTCTATGCTATGAGATCGTTTCTCAACAATCAAGTCCTACTTTGCACATACGAATAACTAGTCCTACTTCTGTCTTACGCACCAGCAGATCATTCAAAATTTCAACCTTTATTCTATCCCACTGAGAAATAGTGGGGAAAAGATAGCCCATGCCTGAAACCACAAGATTCCTAATTTCCCTTTTCCAGATTGTATTATCAAAGGAAAGGTAGATAACTCCCTCACATATGCTTTCTAATAAGCAGGCATTTTCTACATGAAATTACTAGCGAATGAAGGCAAAATTTGTTGATTCTGTGACCCCGAAAAATTGTTACTATCTCATGATCAAAACCAAGGTGTACTGAGTGGGTTTTTGCAAGGATCTAATTGGTCTAATTTCAGGGAGTGTTTGCATTAGCAGCCTACATAACTGGGCAGCGGACACTGGGCTTAAATCTACCAATCAAGAGCCCACACTGCAGGTATGCTGATAACAGAGCTGGAACTCAAAATTATTCTGTCAGACTAGAGAATTGGTCAGAAAAATAACAGAAGGATTCGTCAGCAGTACGTGCAAGTTTCCGTATTTTGGCAAAGTCAGTTGCACACCTGCAGCACAGCAAATACGCTGCTAGACAGCAGCTTCTTCAGAGGAGAATTAAGGGTTGTAATAAACCATGAGCTCAACATAAGCTCAAAATGTGATTTAAAAAAAAACAAAAAGCCATCATACAGGAGTATAAACAGGAATACATACTACATAAAATAGGAAGCACTCCTGTCCTACTGTTTAGCAGGAAGGAACAAATGAGTCAAATTTTTGGCATAACATTTATAAAAAATGTGAAGCAATTTGAAGAGACCAATGACAGTAAGAGAAATTACCACAAGTCTCAAAAAAGGAATTATGTAGAATGGCGGAATATACTAGGACCATTTAGCCTAAAGAAGAAACAAATTAATGGCCCATCCATCATCATCAGATCTGACAGAAAGTTGAATTCTCTATGGAATAAACTTGTCTCTACTGTACTCTGGCTAGGACATATAGCAATTCACCTACCAAAACCAAAGTTAGAAGAATTTGTATTTCAGTTATAAGGAGAAGTCTTTCTACAAATTCCATTACATATTGTAAAAAAAGGGTTTATGCAGACCCCATTGTAGTTTTATTATTTCATGTAGATTTCTAAACAGCTGTGCTAAAAAAAAACAGGTGTAAAATTCAGCCTGCTATGGGGGCTAAAGAATAGACTAGTCAGTATCTTACAGTCTTTCCAGTCTTGTTTTGGTTTGTTATAATTTCTATGATCATTGTCACAAATTTTCTAATGAAACACATAATAGGGGCTTATTCCTTAGAGGTCTAGCCAAGTCTTTCTTTTAGTAGCAGCTTTAATGGTGCTTATGGCTTTATGCCAGTTATATTGCTGAAAGCTTAGCAGGTGATGTATTTGCTTACAGGCACTGTCATATTTTATCCATCTCAGCATCTATTTAGTAAGTGCTTTAACATTATAGATTATGGCAGTTGCTATATAAAACACAGCATTATTTTCCATATTTTATTCCCCTCATTGACATTCCTACTCTCAGATTAACTGGCAGAAGTACAAATATTCACAGCAATTTTAAAAAACAAAGTTTGAGTGCTCACTGACAGTCAGTTAGCTGTGTACTATCAGTAAACAAAACACAGCACAACAATGTTCCTTTCCTACTACAACAAAATTTCTCAGCAATTTTTTTGTATACAAAGAAATATGATGGTAGACAAACTGCAGAGGTTGTTCAGACACCACCTGCTAGTTGTGTGTTGGAACAATGCTACCTGATCTACTTAAAATGTATCATGG